TGTGGAACAATAGCAAAAGACTGGATGACAGCTGCCAGTGGAATTCAAGTCTGTTTGGCCATATCTGAAGATGACAGGAAGCAGTAGGTAGTACATTGGATATAACAAGGGCTGGTATGGCCTAGAACACCCAACAAAGCATGCACAGTGAAAGACTGATAAAAGGAATCTGCCTGTCCTAAACACAAACCAGAAAAACAACAACAAAACTACAAGAGCATATCCTAAGTTAGATATATGCTTTTTGTTCTCCCATGGAAGCTTCTGCCCATCTCATGTATCAGCCACTGCCTCCCCCTGTAGGCAAATATTTTCTTGCTGTTCGAGTTTAATGAAGAGATTTATGAGAATCTTTTTAGAAGAGTTTAATGAGAATCTCAATAGAGATTATTTGCAAATATCCATATCTGAGATGTTAAAAGGAAATAATATGGATGAAATACCCAGTGGGAATGTCAATACTGTATATAACAAAATGCAGCAAACTGATACTTACTGTCAAGACCACGCTAATGAGCTAGCTCTAATTCAGAAGGTAGGATACCAGTGTTAACATGACCATGCTCATATATCCTGCAAGATAGTGTGCTAAATCACTACTCCATTTTTTGTAGCACACTTAGTTCAGTTCCCTCCATGAGAAACTGCATTCTGCAAGGCAGACAAGCACTGGAAGTCCAAGGCAGTTCAGAAACTGCCTTATGTTCCTATTTTTTTTTTTTTAAACCATCAGGCTGCAGATCTGCTCAGTTTCTTGAGAGGAATTTCTTTGTTCATTAGAATTGCATTATCCTGTTCTCAGGTAATGTCCAAAAATCTTGATGCGTTCGTATGTTTTGTATAGCTTACCAAGCTTACCCAAGCACTGATCAACTAATGCTCGACTAAATGATACCATCAGTTTTATCTATATTACAGTATCAAGTCTGCTGTCAAGAGCACGGAATATGGTACTTACAGGGTCTAGGCTGAAGCAAATGGAGGTACGCTAGCCAAATGAAAACATTAAGCCAACTAGACAGGCTCATACTATGTCCCTATGGTTTGAATAGAATCTTCCAAAATTCTTATCTTAAAACACAACGATAATAGAATCAGTGCTTTTTATTGTGCCCATCTTTTAAAATTTCAGAAGAATCTGAAGAGGGCTTTTTACTTGAAAACCTTGAAAAAATTTATGTTAAGAGAAGTTGTGTCAATTATGCATATTACTTTAAATTTCAATAAGGGTAGAAAAGGTGAGGGCAAGGCGATCTCATGGCTTTCACTGGAATTAACCAGAAGTTTAATAATTCAGTTCTCCCCCCTCTACTCCCCCTCTCACACATACCTGGGAGCAATTTTCCCATTTTATGTCCAATTTAGAGTAAGAAGCACCATTTTTAGGTGACAAATGTGAGAATTTAGTCATATATACATATATTTATTTCATTTCCCCCAAAGTGGTAACGAGGACAGTTACCTTGATCTTGGATTACGCAGTCTGTAGTGACAAGAGGAGAAACCTGTCCTCTTGTGTTTGTAGCATAGATCTGCCCTCGCCTAGAAGCTTTGTCGTTTTCAATTACTTGAATCTGATGGATAAGAAGCAAGAACAGTGTGAGAAAGGTTGGCCATGCATTCAGTTACATCCATAAAGAGTTAGACTAAGTAAAACTATTGTCTTATATAGAGATGCCATAAACCCATCGCATACAAACTTCTAGGATAGCTAAGAACTAGAAAACTATATAGACACAGCTGAGCAGTGTAACTCACAGCTACAGTTGCCTGTTGGAACCCTGCAGAGGTAACACTACACATAGGGGCTGGCCAGACCTATATACAGTGAACAACGGAGTTGTTCAAAGCATGTTGACTGCTGGAGTCAGACATTTTCAGGCGAGTCTAGCCAGCAAACTGAATAGAGTGGCTGTGTAAATAAGCCTTGTTACTGAATCTGGCCTTCCAAGCTCCAAGATCAAACTTGAGTGCATCACCTTACTCAGAGGTCACATATACCAGGTTATCTTTTGTATGGCCATATTTGTGCCAGATGCTGTTCTTAATAAATGAATGTGTGGGTAATTCATTTGACTGGAATAGTGGGAGGGGTTGGCCATCAATTCCTCCCCACTAGGCTCTGTGCACAGGATGGTTAAAAAGTGATCGATAACCTACAGAGAGTACCATCTTCCTAGCTGAGCTATATATATGTCAGCACTGCAATTTAGAAGGTAGCATTCAATCCTCAAGAAAAACCTGTCTGACCATGAGGTAGTATGTCAACTCTGGAACTGTGTTTTCACTCCCTGAGTCGTACTACCATGTTGTGAGCTCCCTCCTAGAAAAAAAGTAAAGGAGAGCAATCACAGAAAACTTCTGGTGAAGCAGCTCTAATCATGTGCAGGTTTATTCTGGTTGAACACTACTGAATTATTTTCACTAAATGCTCATGAAGCTGGCTTTACTACTTAACAAATTCTCTTTGTGTACACTTTCTATACTGTCACTTCTGCAGTCCCTCATGCTTAAGTCTGAAACTTCTCAGGTACAACTGAAGTTATATAAACGGATATATTGGTCCACACCATAAACTGGATCACTGAGACAATACCACTATTCCTTCTCATCCTCAAAGGAGTTATCTTTTCAGCAATCCATTTTAGTGTATAGCCTAACAGCTGTGAGAAAGAGGAAGGAGGCAGGGAATTTCTGAAGCTGCCTTTGCCACTGCTACTAGTATGCCATGCAATTGTATCTTTACACTGCACATGAATTTCTAATAATAGCTGGGGAACTTCAGAAGCCTCTGCTGGAAAGCAAACAGAAGAAAAACAAAATTAGTCAGCATGGAGTCTATTGATCATTGTCCAAGAGGTATTTCCTAACATACTGGAATTAATATACAGCCTGTAACATTTTCATTCTCCTTAAAGTTTTTTTTATTGCAATTTAAATACACAATACATTCCTCGGAGCTTGTTATATCTTCTGCTTGATTACTTTTCCCTGCCTGCTTGGCTTGTATACTTATCACTAACTCTTGCATTAGAAGGGATAAAAGCTTTGTTCTAAAAAGGTCTGCTGGCTGAAGGAAGCAAACCACTTTCAAGACTTAGCTCTGCAAAGGATCAATGCACCACGGTATTCTGCAGTTAACTGACCTAAATACATCATTGTTCTTGGAAATAATTGTTGACAAAGCCCAGATGCTAGTTTTCATAGATGTTGTCAAAGAACATATCAACCTCTAACATATGTAAGAAAATATAAATCAACAATGGCTACAGATAAGAAGTAAATTTATCTGGCAACACTACTGTAATTGTGTAATGTAAATATAACAAGAGAAATACACATGGTCATACTTATTCCTCATTCTGAGTTAGCTTTTTGCCCTCTGCAGACATTGACCCAGATCGTGTTTCTTTTAAACATGTCATTTTGATCCTCTCTGTGCTGCTAAAACAAACCTTTTAACCTATTTTAACATCACTGTCATAGTCAAGGCTGTTTATTCTGCATGTGTAATTGAAACAAGACATCAGTCCACGCTTTCGTGCCAGACCTCCCGCTCCCCTGATGACTTTTTTTTTTTCTTAAATGTATTACACAAGATGATTTTGTACTTCTTAAGTAAAAGCACCACACTGAAACACTAAGAATGGTCAGCCTATTCAGGGCACTATTACCTACATTTGCTAATTATACAGAAATTCACTTCAGGTGGGCTTTGTTGATTTTTTTTATTATTATTTTTTTATTTTTTTATTTTTTAAACCACAACGGTGGCAATTGCAGTTGTTACATTAACCTCTAAATGATTACCTACCAAAAAAAAACCCAACATTTTTCCAAGATATTTTCAGTTTTTCAGTAAAACCATCACTGGATAAAACAAAGGAAAATCCCAATATAAGGAAGCAAAGCTACACCCTACTAAACAGGATCAGGATTTTACACAAGTGATTTTCCCCCCTGCTGGTAAAACACAAACCCTTTCCTGTACAGTAATACTGCTTCAGAGGAATTGAAGATTCCTCCACCCAGACAAGCTTACAGTGTGGTGGTTAATGCATCTAAGTAGAAAGTCCTGCATCAAAGCTACAAGATAGCCTGCTTCAAGAATCCTGACTCTCCAAGGACCTTTTAATCTGTTCGGCTGATCACCAAAACCTGTGTAAGTGCATGCATCAGTGTGCTTTCCCCATGAGCTCAGCACATTTCCCCTCCTACTTTGATCAGCTGTTTCCAATAAAAAAAATAAGGTAAATAGAGCCTGCATCTGACAAGTTATTCCTCTGGGTAATAATTAGACTACTTTATTCAAGAAAGATTGACAATATGTATCTTGTTTTATTTTTCCTCTAACACAATTCTAAAAAGAAAAGGCTTTGTCCCACCAGTGCACATTCAGGCAGGCTTCAACAACTGAGCCTTCTGAACCCATAGGAAGCTTAAGCATTATGTACACCCTGAACTACTGAAATCCTTACAAGGGTGGAAAGATGCTCAAGCAAATAGTTCTGGTTGCCCGAGGAACTCCTGCAAACAGTGACGCAGCTTTTGAGCATGGGACTTCTCAGCTTTTCCATGCTTGCAGTTTTACAGTTCGCATACCTGTGCTCTGCACCAGTCCTACTTTAGGTGTCTACCTGTTACTAAGTTTAAGTCTTGGATCTTGCTGGAGTGGAAAGGAAAGGTGACCAGCTGCAGAGAATGCTAGTAATCCTTCAGTACTCCTTACTGTCATAAGGAGAACCTTGTTGAGAATTCCTATTAACATACTGAGTTGTGGGTACGTCCCATGCCAGCTGAAGTTATAAAGCCTCATCAGTTATAAACCTAGCACTCTGTACTACTCAGTTATTCCAAACTGACAACACAAAGTAAACAGTCGATGTAGTTAAGACTACACAAAAATTGCAACATAACCTGTAAACCAAGCCATGTAAATGCAATGGCATTAAATGGAGCAGAAATTTACTTTCATAAAACATCAGTGCCACATTACTTACTGGGCTTGAAACAGAGTCAGGATCAAGCTTCGTCTGCTGTGGACCTGAGAGCTGTGCTGGACCTCCAGGAAAGGCACTAGGGTAAGACAGATGAGATCCTGCCATCGCTGTACAGTTACAAATGATCACTAATATAAAGTACTTAAGCTCTGTTATTAATTTAACATCAGTTTTTGCCATACAAATCATTCTTACTTCTGCTAAATGCAACTTCTCCTTCCTTTCTGTTTTCAGTAAGTACAAGAAAAGGGTTATTTTAGCTCATGCAAGTAAGGTAATTAAAGGTAAGCATAAAACTAGGTGTGACAACTCTAGTTCCAAAACTTTTCAGTTATATTTTTTTGAGTATTATTAAAGTTTTTGCTATTATATAGCAAAGTAGGATTACCGGTAGAGGTTATTACAGCTACTCAAACCAGACCTTTCATAGAATGGCTTTTATTGGAATGGACCTTAAAGACCATCCAGTTCCAACCCCTCTGCCACAGGCAGGGACTCCACTTGTTCCAGTGCCTCATGACCTTCAGAGTGAAGAATTTCCTTTTAATCTAAATCTTCACTCTTTTAGTTCAAAATCATTCCTCTTTGTCCTACCATTATCTTCCTTTATAAAAAGTCACTCTCCACCTTTTTTTTTTATAAGCCCCCTTTAAGTACTGAAAAGCTGCAATGAGGTCTCCCTGGAGCCTTCTCTTCTCTAGGCTCAACAGCCCCAGCTTTCTCAGCCTTTCTTCACAGCAGGGGTCCAGCCCTCTGATCATCCTCATGGCACTCCTCTGGACCAGCTCTAACAGATCCACATCGTTCTTGTGCTGGGGGCCCAGACCTGGATGCAGCACTCCAAGTTGGGCCTCATGAAGGCAGAGCAGAGGGGGACAATTCCCTCCCTTGACCTGCTGGCCTCACCTCTGTTGATGTGGCCCACGACGTAGTTGGCTTTCTGGGTTGCAAGTGCATACTGAAGGTTCATGTTGAACTTATCCACCAGAAACCCCAAATCCTCCACAGGGCTGCTCTCAGTGAGTTCTTCCCCCAGTCTGTGCTCATGTCTGGGATTGCCCCGGCCCAGGTACAGCACCTTGCACTTGGACTTGTTGAACCTCATTAGGGTCATGGGGGCCAACTTCTCAAGTTGGTCTAGATCCGTTTGGATGGCATCCCTTCCTTCTGCTGTATCAACCGTACCACTCGGCTTGGTGCCGTCTGCAAACTTGCTGTGGGTGCACTCAATTCCACTATGTCACTGATAAACACAATAAATAGCACCGGTCCCAAGATGGACCTCTGAGGGACACCACTTGTCACTGACCTCCACCTGGACATGTAGCCATTGACCACCACTCTCTGTGTGTGAGCTTCAAGCCAACTCCTTATCCACTGAATGGTTCACCCTTCAAATGCATCTCTCTCCAATTCAGAGATCAGGATGTCATGTGTCAAAGGCCTTGCAGAAGTCCAGTTAGATGACATTGGTCAGTCTTCCCTTGTTGACTCATGAAATCACACCATCACAGAAGGCCACCAGATTGGTCAGGCAGGATTTGCCCTTGGTGAAGCTGTGCTGGCTGCCTCAGACAGCTCCTTGTCTTCCATGTGCCTTGACAGTGCTTCCAGGAGGATCTGTTCCATGAACTTCCCAAACACAGACTTGAGGCTCCATAGGTGAGGCCTGTAGTTCCCTGGGTCCTCCTTTCTATCCTTTTTTAAAAAGGAGAGTGATGCTTCCCTTTTTCCAGTCACCAGGAACTTCACCTGACTGCCAGGACTTTTCACACATGATGAAGAGTGGCTGGGCAATGACATCAGCAAGTTCCCCCAGGACACTGGGATGCACAGCATCTGGACTCATAGACTTGTACCTCTTCAGTTCCACCAGGTCTTGAACATGTTCTTTGCTTACTGTGGGAGGGACTCTGCTCCCCCAGCTCCTGCCTAGAAGTTCAGGAATTCAAGAGATGTGTGTGGGAAACCTGACTGGCAGCAAAGACTGAAGCAAGGTTGTTGAATACATCAGCCTTCTCCATGTCCCTTGTTATCAGTTCTCCCTTCTCATTTATCAGAGGATGTTACACTCTTCTCGGCCTTTCTTTTCTGGCCAGTGTACCTCCAGAATCCCTTAATATCTATATTAGTTTATTAATAACCCCTTTAACAGGTTCATTGGTGAGCACCAGGTCCAGTAACACTTCTCTTCAGGATGGGTTGCTTAATACCTGGACGAGGAAGTTATCCTCAATGCACTCCAGGAATCTCCTGGATCACTTACAGACTGCTGTGTGGCTTTCCCAGCAGAAATCCATGTGGTTGAACCAGCCACCCATCAGGATGGGTGCCTGTGTGCGTGATGCTTCTTGCAGCTGAAGCAGGAAGGTCTCAACAACAGGCTCCCCTTGATCAGGCAGCCTGCAGGAGACCCCAACCACAAGGTGTCCTTCCTGGGTCTGGTCCTTAACCTTTACCCACATGCTCTCAGCCTGTCTGTGGCTGTTTCTCAGAGCCAGCTCTGTGCAATCTATCCATTTCTCAACATCCCTGCCCCTCCTGCCCCACCTGTCTCTTCTGTAAAGCTTGTAGTCCTTGATTCCAGTGTTCCAGATGCATCAGTGAGAATCAGTCAATGCAAACCAGCCTAGTTTGACAATTAAAAAGCCAGCTAACTGATTTACTTACTTGTGACAGGTAAGAAAGCACATTCTTTGTATTCAATTACAAATCTTTATTGCTATTGCTTTTTTACTATAGTAAAGAGGAGTATCTAGAAGAAGTATATGACTCCTTTCTGTATCTTGTGCCTTTACCCAATACTGAACAAACATTGTTTCTGACACAAATTAATCTTCTTTTTCTTGTTAAGTTCTCAATAGAGTGATGAACTTTTGAGCAAAACTATATCCTGCCTTGAATGCACTGACAGGCAGTAACAACTTCCATTCTACCCAAAGGCAATTAAGTTTTCATTTTTCCAAGACAGCAAAACATCAGCTGTGAGTGGTCACAGTTCCACTAGTGATTCTCAATACATTTGTTTGTTTGTTTTCAATTAGATGCCAAACATCATTCTTTACCTTGCTGAGGATGATATCCAGGCCCTGGAGGCTGTCCTGGAAGCTGTTGCAAGTTAGGATTCCGGGGGCCAGATCCAGGGATCCCATCTTGTCTGGCCATAGTAGGCAATGAAGGTTAATCACTAAGGCCACTGAAATTATTTGCTGGTGGAGGAACCAGGTGGCAAAGCCATTTGCTGCTGTGTCAGAGGTGTTGGCTGTGGACCCTGAAAAGATGCTGGATGCCCGGAAGATATGTGAGAGCTCGGAGTAGTGCCAGGACCTGAGCAAGAAATTATTTATCAAATGAGTCAAAAACAACAACCTACTAACTCTGTGTGAAAGACATTCTATTTTTACTCCATATATTTGTAACATACGGGGAATATTGAGTTACATACTGACATGCTTCATTAAGCAGATTCTGAATGTCTGTTCATAAAACAAATCAGACCTCACAGCTGAAGTATGAACTGATTCGGATGTTCGGTTTTATTTCCTTCAGCTCTGTTTTCAATAAAACCCTACAGCTGGGGTGGGTGGGGAAAGGGAGAAGGAGGCCAGTCTTCAACAATTCTTGATTGGAATACACATAAATCACTATTGGCTTTTGATTTAAATGTAAATTTTATTTAAATTCTTATTGTGAAACAACATTCTTTTTGGCTTAATAATCAATTTCTCTTACGTAGTTTTTTTTGTTTTGTTTTGTTTTGTTAGTTTAATCTTCCCATTTCACCGTGAAAAACTAAATGGAATTTAAACCCACTCAATCTGTTTTACAACCATCTTCCAGTTTTGATGTTAAAAGATGAAATGTGGAAATTATTTTGCATGCAATGGTGAGGAATAGTTTGTTGCTTGTAAGATCCAGATTCCAATTAGAATTAAGAGGACCCTGCAAGTTGTTTTCTTTTTGAGACTTAAAAATCTATAAATGTTCTTTACTTTATAAAACATGCATTTTTAGTCAAACATCCCCCAAAAGACCTATGGCAAATTAATCTTCAAAAACGCTAAAAAATAGCAAATTAGGTTTGGAGGAAAAAGACTAATGTTAGTAAACAAATATTAAAATTTATCTTCTGTCAGACTTGTGAACTGAAAAAAGTGTCACATGCAAATCATGCTCAGGTTCTCCACTGGTACACACAAACATTGCTCCAGCAGCATCACAAGCCATGAATTTCAGTGCTCAGCCAAGTTACACCAACTTAGTCTTACCTCTAAGCAAAAATCAGAAGAATAAAACCTAACACAGTGGCATAACTATAAAGACCCCAGGTCTTCAGTGGTCTGAAGAGTATCTCAACATTCCCACATGTAACAAGATCAGCAAGAATGTTACATAATTGTTGCTGGTGGCAATATAACAAGGCAGGAAGAAAAACAGTTCTTTTTGCTCTAAATAGTATGAGTCTCTGCATATGAAGTGCTGCTGTAGAAGTGCTGGGCCACGCTTCATCCTGTATAGAACTATCTGACTTAATCGTGCACTTGCAGTTCTGTACACCAAGGCTGAATTCAAGTCAAAATTATTTTTTAAGGTGAAGAAGCAAGTTTTCACAAGCCATTGTGCAAATGGAGGGTCAGACCCCTGGCAGTTACACAACTTTCATTAAACTCAACTTAGTAATCTGTCAAGTCAGAGAAGGAACAATGATATAACATCAGTGCAGCTCCAACTGAAAAGTTCATCTTTACACATACCTTATGATACAGCCACTAAAGTGATCTTAGTTTAGTAAACTCATCCTTATGAATGCCCTGGCCACAGAGAAACAAGATGCTAACTAAATTCCACTGCTTTCCAGTCAAATGGTAAATTTGACCAGGAAATACTCAGAAAAAGCAGATTTAGCCAGCTGTCAGGACAGTGACCAAAACTTAGGGAAGAGAATCAGTATTTTGCTGGGCTGGTCATGTCACCTTGACTTTCATTTTCCTTGTTTTCAGGACAACCACTCTGCTTCTCCCTGTCCACTTGTACTTTTTTTTTTTTTTTTTTTTTTTTTAAGAACAGATGACCAGTCTCTGTGGGTCTGTTTTACACAGTTGTAACACACATACAAGAGGCTTCCTATTCCGATGCTTCATAAAACATATGCATGGCTTTACTTGGACACAAATAACTTCACCACAACTAAAGAAGCACAAAAGCAGAGTAAGGCTTCAATCAATTGAAACAAGTGTGTTTTTACATGAAATTAAATTCACTAAAGTTAAAATAGCTATACGTACATGAACTCTAATTTTGTCACTCATGGGAGGTCAGCAAAATAATTAACAATTGACAGAATTAAGAGTTAAGTGCATCTACCCACTTACAACCCACCCTGCAATACAATCACTCTGTAATCAAGCTTGTCCACCCTTTCCTTTCATCCCCTCATACCATAATTTTTCCAAGATTCATTTTTACAGCTTCAACCTGTCCCTAGTTTTCTCCCTTCCCCACTCCTATCTCCTTCATTGTTTCCTGTAAGTTCTGGAGGCAGGAAAACAACACTTAAATTCTTCATAATTAATATCAGACTAACTGACTGAGCAAGAGAGCAGCAGTCACCCATCTGAAAAATTATATCAAACCTGCATTCTAAAATGTCTTTAAAGTACCCTACAGATCCTTGGCTGTGATCCCACAGCAACGAAGCAAAGGCAAGAGAGGGGAAAAAACCTACAGTTATATAGGCATGTACCAGCTTATAGTCAAAACTCACCAGCAACTATTATTTTTTTAAATTATAGTATGCCTAAAGTTTGCTGAAATTAGACCAGTTCACTGAAATTAGACCAGCAAAACAGGCTTCACAGAATCACAGAGTCATTTAGGTTGGAAGAGACCTCCAAGATCACCCAGTCCAACCTCTGACTAACAAGTGCTCCACTAAACCACATCACTAAGCTCTACATCTAAACGTCTTTTAAAGACCTCATTTCTATGCTCTTAAATTTCTTTTGTTGATGTTTTGTTTTTTAAGATCTCAGCCACTACATTCTCACTTACTATACTTCTTGAAAAATTTGAAGCCACATACCAAGTTAAAATGAATGAAACAGAAAGGAGAGACAGTAACAGTCTGGTTTATCTTTTGGATGTCAAATTACATCATCTGTAGCATGATTTCATTTGTAAACAGCAAACAAGCCATCTGCATATAAAAGCTACCCAAGTTCCCTTTCCTCATGGAAGGTAACTGTCCCCTAAGTGGTCAGAAAGCAGAAAGGCTCCACTTACTGAGCATTATCCAAACACATCACTCAGCAAGCAAGCTTAAGTAGTAAAACATCAACCTGTATTTACAGCCACATTTGTGCTCAGGAATCTGGTTGGACACAGGTCCTACTGCAAAGAATACAACCCATTTCTGAGATCCTCTTTGCCATTAACACATAGGAGTTGAGAAACATTTCTTTATTCCCAGAATTTTGTTGTTGTATTAACACCTGTATTAGGTTAATCACAGCACAGCACTGAGCACTGGTGCCTACTGCTTCCCGGATATTGGAATTCACACGCAGAGGTCAGAATCCCACTACCAGGCATCTTACATCAACACCTGGGCACAAACAGTAACACAGGCAAAGCTGGGGCAAGATCCTATTGCGTCAGCAGTGTAAAGCTGAGCACTATGTGTTGACATAAGTACAATGAAGAGATGCAAAACACCAAAAGAGATACAAAAAGACGTCACATAAAAGCAGATTGAAACATATTTTAAGCCAATTTCACACCTGGTTGAGGCGCTGCGTATGAGGAGTTGGGACTGTCATAATGCCCATACCAAAGTGAAGAATTAGGTGGTCCAAAACTTTTAGAAAAGTCTCCCACTCTTGGCTGGGATTGGGAATACGGAGGAGCCACAACATAACCTTGTTCACTCATGCTGGCAATACTCTTCCTCCATGTATGGGGTTCTCCTTAATGAACTGCAAAATAGAAAGCGACACCTGTTACTACTCTTCACTCCTTGGACATTTTAAAAGGCTGAGAATTACACTTCCAAAAAAAAACTTTAGACAAACCTGGAGGCAAAAAAGGATTTGGAGGTCAGGGGAAAACAATGCTTTTACATGTATTTGACTGCAACTGGTTGGCTGCTTTCCTTATCATTGCATGAATTCAAACAATTCACTGAATTTATCTGAACAGGATTCACCTCTCCCAGACAAGAGAAAAACTGTAACTAAAGGATGTATAGGTGGAAGAAAACATCTCAAATTATTCTCTTCACAAGGAAAAAAACAGACTTCTGCTACACCTGCAAAACAGACAGTGAGTCCCACACGCCAGATACCAGGTACTTTGAAAAATCAGGAAAAGCAGAGAGAACAGAACTACTAACAAATCCTTCTCCAATGCTAGCACACTTGTTTTAGATGAGGTATGGAACATAGTACCAGCTCTTCATCAAACCTTCTACATGTACGTCATCCCCACTCCCAGCAAGTGAGTAAAAGCTTGCTTTCAATGCTGGTGAAACTGTGAATAAATTACAGGATGGACAGAGATCTTATTTCCAGCTGTCTTCCACATTACTGGCCCAGATCTGAGCAGGTTTTTTTTTTTCCTAAAGGACTCAGTAGTGTGATGAAATAGAGCACAAGGCATTCCACAAGTGAGAGGCTGTTCTCTGAGGGCAGTATGGCCTCAACAGTACCATATGATGTCCAAACTGTTACCAGGCATCTTTCACCTAAGTTTTCACATCTTGATTCTGTTGTTTTCAGAGAAAGGAGAAAAACAACAAGAAAACGCCAGAATTTGACTGAAAGCAATCAAAAGAAGTTTTCTGATGATGAGGACATTCACAAGACATTTAATCTCTTTCCCGCAGTGATTTTTCCCGCAAGATACTTCTAAGAAGCTTTCAGAAACCAAAAAAATCTGATGAATGCTACACTACTAAACCAGATGACTGTATTTTACATGAAGTTTCCAAATACAGAGCACTTTCCACCAAGGGATCTCAAAAGTTACTGACGTACACTCTGCAGCCTTGATCGCCAACTTTCACTTTTGTAAGATTCCTCACTTTTGATTGCATGTTGAATTTAACAAAACTAGAATACCACTAACTTTCTTTAAACCCAAGTTAGAAGTGTTTTCAGAAATGATGAGGATCTGAGCATGTACTTAGTGTTTTTGTGAAGCCCCAACTAGGGCATCCCCAAAGAACTAGAGATGCATTACCTAAACCAGTATTTCATATGCTAAGCATTCCTTTGAAATAGCTTTGCCAGCCACCTGTATTTCACATTCCTTGTGTTGCAGCATGAGGTGATCTTTTGGGTATGCAGGCTGGATCAAGAATTGCAATCCAGTAGCACGCATGAAGACGTCATCTAAATCAGACACACCTACAAGACCATGAAATAGACAAATTCACGCTGCACTGACACATGTCAGTAGAGAAAAGCTATGCCCATCACAAATGTATAAATATTTTAAATATATAAAAAGTCAGAGATTTGCACTTCAAGACAGCTGCAGCAGCCAACACCTGTGACACTGACAGCATCCATGGGAAATGACTTCCCCCACAGCTTCCTCGCACACAGCCGTGCAAAGCCTTGCCACATCGAACTTGCCACAGGCGGTATGGACACGCAGAGGTTGTGCTGGACAGAGACAGGAACTCCAAACCACACAGACGGAGGGCAACGCAAGCTTATCCAACACAGTTCCAGATTTTACTTAACACCGAGCACATTTAATCCCATCTCAGATACATACATAGAGAAACACGCAATGAAACTGGTTTGGAGACAACATCTAAGGCACCAATATCACAGGTCCCTTATGATTTCAGTGATCAGGTTCTGACAAGACATACAGATCAACTAAACCGAGGGCTTCCCCGGGGTTTGTTTACCACAATGCCATTACACAAAAGGACAAAACAAGGTTTTGTCTCCCTCTCTTAATGCCAGGTGAGCTTACGCCCCGTGCCCTGAAGACCAGCAGCGACACAAACACCTCAGCACCCCCCCCCCGCCCCCCCCCGCTCTTTATTCCTACCGCACACACCTGGGGGCAGCTCGGAAGGCGCAGCCTCAACTTCCCCGAGCCCCAATCGGGACCCACCCGGCACCTGCGAGCCGCCGCTGCCCCCCCTGCGCGGCCGTTAGGACCGTTAGGACCGTTACCTGACCGTTACCTGGCCGTTACCCCCGGCCGCGCGCGCCGCCGCTCAGCCGAGTGCCACGTCCGAACCCGCGCGCGCGCCGCCGCCGCTGTCCCCCCCCCCCCCCCCCCCCCCACGCCGCCGGGAGCGCGCCCGGCCCCGCGGCTGCGCATGCGCAGTGCGCGCCGCGGAGCCCGGCCCGCAGCGGGGGTGGGGGAGCTGTGAGGGGCTTGCAGCGGGGCCGGGGCTGTGGTTCGGCTTTGTCCCGCTGTACAGGGACACGGTTCCTCTCCAAACGCAGACAAGCACTAAAAATGCAGGCACTTTTCCTCACGTGTGCGTTTAAAGCGCCTGCCTGCGGCAATACGTATGCATGTGTTTATAGACGCAGAACTATGCCCCCTGAATATGCAGAGTGAAACACGGCCCGGGTGCTTCACCTGTCCGCCTGCTCTGCTTCGGGTCACTGTCCCAGCACGGTCACAAACACCGCCTGGGTTACAGCACAGAACCAATGGTTCCCTAATTAACAAAGTAGAAACACGGGAGTAACACGAGGAAGATGTACTGGTGAAGTCTGTGTGTCAAAAAATGAACAATCTTCATGGTGTTGAGGTTAAAAAAAAATAAAAAAAAGGCAGACAAATAGCAAAAGAAAAACAAAAAGTCATTCAATTAAAGACAGCTTCAGAATTCAGGTGTACGTAGAGTTCAGGCTTCATAGGCCTCATCCTTTGAGCGTCTGTTCTACAACCGCATTAAGGCTTTTGCAAGTAGGTTTTGGGGCTGAATGGCGCTAAACATGGAGCTAAATCTCAGTAGTGGATATATCAGACAAGATTATCAAAAACATTCATTCCTATACAAAATAATTCTGAAGAACTAACAATGCCTTTGAAATAGATGTCAGAAATGGCAGGGCATCCTTTACATGACAGACATGGAAGAAGCCTCTGAAGGCAACACAAAGAGGCAAGAACGAGTCCCAGTGAGGCTTTGTACCTGCTCTCCAGGGCTGGACTCACCACTGAACGGCATAAGCTGACTTTCTGGATGTTATTGGAATTAATGCTGTTGGATATTCTGCTCAAACTTTTCCAACTTCTCACTCTTGTCTAACCAGAATGGAAAATTTGGTCGAGAAGGTGACAAGCATCAGTTCAACTGCATCAGCTGCATGTGGTTTTGGCTGCGGAGTATCAGTGACTGTTTCATAAGCACGACGCAAAACGATGCCTGTCATCATCGCCGTGCTGCCATTTCACCCCTTGTCCCTCACTCTTTTGCTGGTTATATGGATGCATACAGTTACCTTCAGTTACACAGAATTGTTTTGAAATACCATGCCACTGAGAGGAAAATAACGACGCTAAGTTTGGACATCCCCTATTTTGCTGTGGAGCCTAGCAAGTTGCTTGTCCCGCCAGCCCTGTTGTGTCTAGCTTGCAGCTATTAACAGTAAGCAGCTGTGGATAATTCAGCACAGAAGAGCCTTGCACTTACTTGGCCACTGAATACTGACTATCAGATTTCTCCTCCCTGAAATCAGCTCTAACGAAGCTGAAAGAGGAGATCAGCAAGAGATCACATATAGAAGCTATGCCATTGCCAGTTCTTCCCCCATTTCAGGCCAGTTCTGGAAATGGATCAAAACACCTCTTTTTTGGAGGCCACAGCTTGGCTTCCATCTGCCATTAGCGTGGAATGCTGAGACAAAATGTACCCAGCATGTCATGGTCCTGATGTTTTGAAACTACAAGTAATATTTATCTGCAGTTTCCACCTATAAACATTAAAAGTAATTTAAGGTCTTCAATTTTAGAAATGTGGAAACATCATTAAAGATTTAAGTGCATTACTGATCTGGAAAGTAATTTCATAAAAATGGCATTGCAGTATCACTGAACTGTTGTCACTTCATTTTAGTTAAATTGTTTAAATTAAACTTTACCATGAAATCTATGAGTCAGACTGATTTCTTCTCTATCATCACCAGTAATGAAGATCTTGTAGGTTAAAAAGTCAGTTCATCCTGAAGTTGTACCTATACAACACTACTGAGAACCAACGTGATTTACTTAAGACCTAATTTGGAGTTAGTATTGGTGAAGTCAGTAGAGGAATTTGTCTAAATATAGAAGCTTTTCTTCATCCCAATTAAAAAAATAGCAAATCCTCTGCCACCAAAATCTCTAATTTAAAGTTTTCAGATTTTTTTTTATTAGTTCTGAAACAAAGAAAACATATAGTCTTCCATCATCTTGGGAGATACTGGTTACAGAACCCAAACAAACTATCTCAGAACCCAAAGAAGAGTAACTCAAATCTTTCTGATTTATTTTTGTTTGTTTGTTTTTTTTTGTGGGGTGGGGAGGGCGAAGTCGATTAATGACTTTAATTCATAGAACCATAGAACAGCTCGGGTTGGAAGGGACTTCAGAGACCATCTAGTTCCAAACCCCCTGCCAAAGGCAGGGATACCACCCAGTAGATCAGGTTGCCCAAGGCCTCGTCCAGCCTGGCCTTGAACACCTCTAAGGATGGGGCATCCACAGCTTCTCTGGGAAACTTGTGCCAGTGCCTCACCACCCTGTAAGTGAAGAATTGCCTCCTAACATCTAATCTAAATCTCCTCTCTTTTAGTTTAAAACTATTCCCCCTTGTCCTGTCATTATCTGGCTAAGCAAAAAGTTGTTCTCCATCTTTTTTATAAGCCCCCTTTAAGTACTGAAAAGCTGCCATAAGGTCACACTGGAGCCTTCTCTTCTTTAGGCTGAACAGCCCTGGCTCTCTCAGCCTTTC